AACTATAAAACTGGGAAAAAGTCTTTCTGACTTTGAGTTAGGCAGAGAATTCTCAGACATGATACCAAAACCCAATCTATGACAGGAAAAAAAAAAAAGATAAATCGGGTTTCATCAAAATTTAAAACTTCCACTCTTTAAAAGACATCATTAAGAATTTTTTTTTTGAGACGGAGTCTCACTCTGTCGCCCAGGCTGGCGTGCAACAGCAGGATCTCGGTTCACTGCAACCTCCACCTCCCGCGTTCAAGTGATTCTCCTGCCTCGGCCTCCTGAGTAGCTGGGATTACAGACGCCTGCCACCATACCCAGCTAATTTTTGTATTTTTAGTAGAGATGGGGTTTCACCAGGTTGGCCAGCTGGTCTTGAACTCCTGACCTCAAGTGATCCACCTGCCTCGGCCTCCCGAAGTGCTGGGATTACAGGCATGAGAAACCGTGCCCAGCCCATTAAGAAAATTAAAAGACAAGCCATGGAATGGGAGAATATACTTGCAAAGCATGTACCTGATACAGAACTTGTATTCAGAATATACAAAGAACTCTCAGAATTCAATAATAAGACTCCAAAATTTTCAAACGGATCAAGATTGAACAGACATTTCACCAAAAAAATACATAAATGGCTAAAAATCACATGAAAAGATGGTCAACATCATTTCATTAGGGAAGTACAAATCAAAACCACAATGAGATACCATTATACATCTATTAAGATAGCTATAATAAAAAAAAAAGACTGACCATACCGAGTGTTGGTGAGGATATGGAAAATATGAAATCCTGATACATTGCTGGTGGGATTGTAAAACTGTATATCGCCACCTTGGAAAACAGTCTTGAAGTTTCTTACAAAGTTAAAGAAGTCCACTCCTAAGTATCTCCACAAAAGAAATGCAAACATATGTCCACATAAAGACTTGTAAGCAAATGTACATAACTGACAATCATTTATAACAGCACAAACTACAATCCAAAATGAATAGCAACTGGTAAATGGATAAATGTGTTATAACAATACTACTCAGTAGTAAAAAGGGGCAAACTACTGACACATTCAACAATATGGAACAATCTTAAAAACATTACACTAAGTGAAAAGAAGCCAGACATAAAAACTATATTGCACTAATATTTGTATATGAAATTTCTAGAAAACGCAAAAATAAAGTGACAGAAGATCAATGTTTGCTTGTGGCTGGGGTAGGGAGCAGGAATTGATCACAAACAAGAGAATACTGGGGGATAAGGAAAAGAAGGTTTTGTTTTTGTTTTCTTAAGAGACATGGTCCCGCTCTGTCACCCAAGCTAGAGTGTAGTGATCACAGCTCACTGCAGCCTCAAATTCCTGGGCTCAAGTAATCTTCCCACCTCAGCCTCCCAAATAGCTGGGACTATAACAGGCATGTGCCGCTATAATTGGTTATTTTTTTTATTTTTTGTAGAAACAGAGTCTTTTTTTTTTTTTGAGATGGAGTTTTGCTCTTGTTGCCCAGGCTGGAGGGTGATCTCGGCTCACCGCAACCTCCACCTCCCGGTTCAAGCGATTCCCCTGCCTTAGCCTCCTGAGTAGCTGGGATTACAGGCATGTGCCACTACACCCAACTAATTTTTTTTTTTTTTTTTAAGCAGAGATGGGGTTTCTCCATGTTGGTCAGGCTAGACTGGAACTCCCAAACTCAGGTGATCCGTCCGCCTTGGCCTCCCAAAGTGCTGGGATTACAGGCGTGAGCCACCATGCCCGGTTAAGACAGAGTCTTACTATGTTGTCCAGGCTGATCTCGAACTTCTGGCTTCAAGTCATTCTCCTGCCTCAGCCTCCCTAAGTGCTGAGATTATAGGTTTTAGCTACCATACCCAGTCAGAAAGTGTTTTAAAACAAGATTTTGGTGATGGTGCACAACTCCATAAATTTACTAAAAATAATCAAATTATACACTTGGGCACATTTTAAGGTATTTAAATTACACCTCAATAAAACTGTTTTTAAAAGGGCTGAGATGTTGCCACACTGTCAAATCACTATCAAAGAGTTCTTAAACACACTTCATTTCTATATACTTCTCCAGTTCACAGACAGGAATAGGGTCTACAGACCACACTCTTAAGAAGCACAGCTCTGACTTCTGCTAGATATTGGCTAATAGGCTTGGAGTAATCAATAGTTTTAACTGAAACTGACTTAATTTAATTTAAGCTGTTAAAGTTTAACTCCACTAAGTATTTCATTAAATAAGGAATTTACAAGTATTACTGACAAAAGGAAAATATGAAAACATGGTCTATTGCTGAATAAAAGCATAACTCATTATAAAATAAGAGTCTACAAATGAAATACCACCAAGAACAATGACTACCATAGACCCTTTTTTTTTTTTTGAGATGGAGTCTCGCTCTGTCACCCAGGCTAGAGTGCAGTGGTGTGATCTCAGCTCACTGCAACCTCCGCCTCCTGGGTTCAGGGGATTCTCCTGCCTTAGCCTCCCGAGTAGCTGGGACTACAGGCGTGTGCCACCACACCCAGCTAATTTTTTTATTTTTAGTAGAGATGGGGTTTCACCATCTTGGCCAGGCTGGTCTCGAACTCCTGACCTTGTGATCCACCTACCTTGGCCTCCCAAAGTGCTGGAATTACAGACGTGAGCCACCGCACCTGGCCGACCCTTCTTTTTAATGTAGTATAATCAAGTAGATAAAGTCAGTATATTTACAGATTAGACTACTAAAACCCAAAGCAATGAAACTTTAAACATATAAATGAATAAATGGAATATTGTAATATTATATATTTCATGGGACCAAATATCAGACATGCAAACGAATTACATGAATAGATTTGTTTCAGAGAAAGTCCCAACAACATGTAAGCTTTACTTTGTTTCCAATTAAGTGTAAATCTAGGCTAAGTTCAACCAAAACTGGTAAGCACTTAGTGTCTATGTTATAGTCTAAAATTTAAATTCATTTTATAGTAATATTTAAATTCATTTTATAGTAATTAGATACCAGTTACAAAAAGCAACTGATGGGGACAGGAGGCAAAGAAATTCTAGGCAGAAAAGGGTGGGTCACCGGTGAAAACCCCACCCTCAAGCCAAAATGCCTGAAACCTCGGCCCAAAGTGAGAACTTATATCCCTGTTTTCCTGTTTGAATGTTTTCCTAAACCACCCATGGCCCTGCCTTGCCCCATTCTGTGCCTATAAAGACCCCAGACTCAGCCAGCAGAGAGAACCAGCTGGACGTCAGGATGTTGGAGAGAAGCGGGTTGACTTTAGAGGGACAGCTTGATGGTGTAACTTTGGAGAAAAATTTAGCTGGAGACAGCTGGACTTCAGGGAAAGATTACCTACCCCCACCCCACCAGCCCCTTTTCAGCTCCCCTTCCTGCTAAAAGCCACTTTCATCAGCAATAAAATCTCCTGCATTTACCATCCTTCAATTCATTCGTGTGACCTCATTTTTCCTGGATGCCAGACAAGAGCTCAGGAGCCACAAGTGCTGATACAAAAGGCTGTCACACTGGCCCTTTGCCCTTGCTGGCAGAGGGCACCCACCCCACACAACGGGGCAAAGGGCCCACTGAGCTGTTAACACTTAAGCCGTCCACAGATGGCAGAGCGAAAAGAACACTATAACATGCCCTCTGGAGCCTTGGGAGTCACAGGCACCCCACAGCCTGGACGCTGCCACAGCAGCCAGCTGGTTGCAGCACTTAAGCCCTCCAGTTCCTGCCTTGTTCACCCACACTCTCCTTCCCATGAGGAGTTGAGAGAGGCAGGCTGAGCAAAGGAGAGACTCCTGCAAAGGGGTCAGGGAAATATCCTGCTTCACGATGATACTTTTTTTACAGCTCTGGCAAAACACAGACATGAAATAAAGACTCTCTCATTTTAAAAAGGTCAAAGCAATTTGCTGAAGTTAACTTTTTTTAGGAAAAATTAAATGCTCAACTTTTCCAGAACCTATTTTTACTATACTATTTCTCATTTGCAGGGCAAAAACAGATGCTCAATGTTTCAAGCATAACTGGGAAAAAAACAAACTGAATTATAACAACTAAGAAAAAACAAACTTGGGTTATAAAAAAAAAACTTTTCCGTTGGTAAATTTCATTCCACTGAACAGTTCAGCTTTAGTAATCTAAGCATTCCCTAGAGCTCAGATTCTTCCTATAGATTTACTACACAATGAAACTACAACTTTCGAAACCACAAATCTGGTTTATTTACTTTCTTATGAGGTTTTTGAATTACCAAGTCAAAATCAGCTTTAAAAGCATTTTCTTCATATTTAACATGTGAGACCTGGATCTATGAAGCTTTGTTTTGAATTAAAGAACATTAACTTTGAACTGGAAATTAAATTGAATGAGGGGAAAATGCCAGGATATCTATGATCATTCTTTTAATCAATGCATACCAGTTACGTACAATAGTTCTAGTGCTATTGTTCACTTTGTCCCTTTAAATTTTTGCAGCTTTCTAGAAAAGTAGAAAAAGGTTTTGCAGAATCTTTGTTGTCCTTCCCTCCATTATAACTACCCTTCTATTTCCTGACTCTTTGCACCCTGTATTTCACTTTAGATAAGAAGCTAGAGGAACAATCCTGGAAGGAAAGCTAAAGAAGGAAACAAAAACCAGAAGCATTTACTCTTGCTCCACTGCCTTTCTCTAGAAAAATGTCAACTCAAACAACATAGAACATCCTGCAACAAGCTAGCCCTCTTACCACATCTCCGTAATATATGTTCAGTATTCAAAAATGCATCTTCAAGATAGTAAGTAGTAAGTATATCACAATTTGATAAGTTTGTGTGAGTAGAAAAGCTATTGTTATATGAATTAATTCTCAGACTGGTAATACACAAAGCTGTAATCTAATATCCATATATACTTGTAAAACCATTCAAAACACATTAGGACAGTTTTTAAATATACAGCTATAAATGGGGATCATTACAACTATGCTTTTAACAATTTATGCCCACATGTATCTTACCCTTCTGGCTCTGTTTCCTGGACATTGCTGTTTCTTCAATCTCAAAAAATATACAAGAAAAGTATCCTTTTGCCTTGTCTGAATTTTGAGTGTAGGTATCTCTGATTTAAAAGTGGGCAATGGAAGTGTGTAGTTGGAAGCAAAAAATACGAAATCCTGCTGTTGGAAATTCTGCTCACTAGCTGTCAATTTCCTTTCCTTTTCTTGTATCGACTTCTTATCAGGAAGTATCATTGCAGATATTCATGTCTTCTTTTCCAGGGAGATTCTGGAGGGAAAAACACACACATATACTATTACAGTAATGACTATCTGTACAAAATTTCTGAGATATCCACAAGGTTTCTTTTGTATTTCTCTGTACAAAACTAGTTTTAAGTAATATAGAAACAATGTAGCTGCTGAAAAGCAGAATTTTTCTTAAGAAAACTTAATCTTAGAATCAGATTATCCCCTTAGTTTAGAAAGTATGTTCTCTTAGTCTTCTTATCTTTTGTATCCATCTGAAATATCCCCATCTCTGCTTCGCAAACTAAAATGTTACCTCTTACCACTCCCCAAGATCTTTCTTTTTTTTTTTTGAGATGAAGTCTTGCTCTGTCGCCAGGCTGGAGTACAGTGGCGTGATCTTGTCTCACTGCAACCTCTGCCTCCCAGGTTCAAGTGATTCTCCTGCCTCAGCCTCCCGAGTAGCTGGGACTACAGGCATGCGACACCACGCCCAGCTAATTTTTGTATTTTTAGTAGAGACGGGGTTTCACCATATTGATCAGGATGGTCTCTTATCTCTTCACCTCGTGATCCATCTGCTTTGGCCTCCCAGAGTTCTGGGATTATAGGCACGAGCCATCTGATCTTCCCATCCAAATCAAGGGTCTATTCTCTTCCTCTAGAATTTCTTTTTGTTTTGTTTTTTGTTTGAGACGGAGTTTCGCTCTTGTTGCCCAGGCTGGAGTGCAATGGTGTGATCTCGGCTCACTGCAACCTCCGCCTCCCGGGTTCAAGCGATTCTCCTGCCTCAGCATCCTGAGTAGCTGGGATTACAGGCACCCACCACCACACCTGGCTAATTTTTTGTATTTTTTTTAGTAGAGATGATGTTTCACCATATTAGCTAGGCTGGTCTCTTGACCAGGCTGGTCTCAAGCTCCTGACCTCGTGATCTGCCTGCCTTGGCCTCTGAAAGTGCTGGGATTACAGGTGTGACCCTAGAATTTCTTTTCTTTTTTTTTTTTTTTTTTTGAGACGGAGTCTCGCTCTGTCACCCAGGCTGGAATGCAGTGGCCGGATCTCAGCTCACTGTAAGCTCCGCCTCCCAGGTTTACGCCATTCTCCTGCCTCAGCCTCCCGAGTAGCTGGGACTATAGGTGCCCACCAGCTCGCCCAGCTAGTTTTTTGTATTTTTTTAGTAGAGACGGGGTTTCACCGTGTTAGCCAGGATGGTCTCGGCCTCCCAAAGTGCTGGGATTACAGGCTTGAGCCACCCCGCCCGGCCTAGAATTTCTTATATCTAACCTCTTCTCAGGTTTCCCAGCTCAAATACAGCTGTAAAAAATATATGGGGGTGGGATGTGAAATGTTGAGAAACACACTCACCGTACAAACCCAAAGAATGGACTTAGAGGCTCGAAAAACAGCAAATGTGAGACTTTTTAATAATGGTCTAGCCAGGTACAGTGGCTCATGCCTGTAAGCCCAGCACTTTGGGAGGCTGAGGCAGGCAGATCACCTGAGGTTGGGAGTGCAAGACCAGCCTGACCAACATGGAGAAACCCCGTGTCTACCAAAAATACAAAATTAGCTGGGCGTAGTGGTACATGCCTGTAATCCCAGCTACTCAGGAGGCTGAGGCAGGAGAATCTCTTGAACCCAGGAGGCGGACGTTGTGGTGAGCCAAGATCGCGCCATTGCACTCCAGCCTGGGCGACAAGAGCGAAACTCCATCTCAAAAAAATAAATAAGTAAATAATAATAATAATGGTCTTGCAAGATCAGGTGTTAGGTGGGCAAGCACACTGGGACAGTCACAACAGGTAATTTATCTCTTAGCGTACAAGTCCCTCCGCCAGTTCCTCAGTGGTTAAGTACTGTGGGGTGACAATCTTCCCAGACGTTGCCAAAGTTTATTATCCCCCTTATAAGGTTATACCCCATTCCCTTCCCCTCTTAAGTTTTGATTTCTCAATAACGAAACTTTCTTCCCTTTTATGGGCGGATCCCTCCTCAACATTCGCTTCACTTAGTGTGACCTCCTAGGCGCATGAGCTGTGTGGTTTGTTACATTTGCAGGCCAGCTGCCAGTACTTAGATTTATCATGCCTTGAAAACAAACCATTTAAAATGTTTTTTCACATGAAAGGAGGGAAGTGCAAAGGAATTTTAACATGGAAAACTGAAACATCAAAATGAGATTAGTCCATACTGCAGGAAGCTCCTTTAAATTACAAACATACAAATGTTGTTTTTCTATATTAGTAAACATTTTAAATATACATGCCCAAGATTCCTGGGTAAAAAAAACCATAAGTTCCTGCCAGCAGAGATGAGCTAACAATTAAAATAAATAAATAAATAAATAAATAAATAAATAAAGAGATGGAACCTGCAACCTCCACCTCTCGGGTTCAAGTGATTCTCCTGCCTCAGCCTCCTGAGTAGGTGGGATTATAGGCATCCGCCACCACGCCCAGCTAATTTTTGTATTTTTAGTAGAGATGGGGGCTCACCATGTTGGCCAGGCTGGCCTTGAACTCCTGACCTCAAGTGATCTGCCCGCCTCAGCCTCCCAAAGTGCTAGGATTACAGGCGTGAGCCACTGCGCATGGCCAATTTTTTTTTTTTTTTCTCTAGAGACAGAGTCATGCTCTTGTTGCCCAGGCTAGAGTGCAATGGTGCCATCTTGGCTCACTGCAACCTTCGCCTCCTGGGTTCAAGCGAATCCTGTCTCAGCCTCCCAACGAGCTGGGACTACAGGCACCTGCCACCATACCCGACTACTTTTTGTATTTTTAGTAGAGACAGGGTTTCGCCATGTTGGCCAGGCTGGTCCTGAAGTCCTGACCTCCAGTAATCCATCTGCCTCGGCCTCCTAAAGTGTGAGATTACAGGCATGAGCCATCATGTCTAGCTGAAATTTTTTTTTTTTTTTTGAGACGGAGTCTCGCTCTTTGGCCCAGGCTAGACTGCAGTGGCGCGATCTCGGCTCACTGCAAGCTTCACCTAAGGGTTCACGCCATCCTCCTGCCTCAGCCTCCTGAGTAGCTGGGACTACAGGTGCCCGCCACTGCGCCCGGCTAATTTTTTGTATTTTTAGTAGAGATGGGGTTTCACCGTGTTAGCCAGGATGGTTTCGATCTCCTGACCTCGTGATCCACCTGCCTTGGCCTCCCAAAGTGCTGGGATTACAGGCATAAGCCACTGAGCCCGGACGAAAAATAATAATTTTTTAAAGCATAGGATGATAGAACTCTTATACCTGGACACCTGACTGGAAAAACGTTTACAAAATGAAATGCAAGAAGGAAAGGAGAGTACGCTTATAAGAAATATTTTCCAATTTGAAAAGAGGAGACTGAAGAGTCAAGAGGCAATTCTGTGAAAGTTTTAAAAATATTTCATCAAGATTAAGAACTTCTACAAACCACAGTGGGACCTCAGGAAAAGCAGTGTGAGTATTTGAAACTTACCATCTTCCAGAACACTGAGCCAAGTTGAGAGAACCAGCCAAAGCCTACGGAAATACATGGAATATACCCCTGGATATAGCACACTTAAAAAGATTTTAGAAAAAAGAACAGAACGCAGATCTGCCAAAAATAACTGAACCCTTCAGTGGCAAGCTTCTCAACAGCACATGTCCTCAGGTTAAAGAGGATGAGGCCAGGCATGGTGGCCCACGCCTGTAATCCCAGCACTTTGGGAGGCCGAAGCAGGTGGATCACCTGAGGTAGACCAGTCTGACCAACATGGTGAAACCCCACCTCTACTAAAAACACAAAATTAGCTGGGCATGGTGGTGCATGCCTGTAATCCCAGCTACTCGGGAGGCTGAAGAAGGAGAATTGCTTGGACCTGGGAGGTGGAGGTTGCAGTGAGCCAAGATCACACCACTGCATTCCAGCCTGGGCAACAAGAGCAAAACTCCATGTCAAAAAAAGAAAAGAAAAAGAAAAAGAAAAATGAAAAGAGGATGAAAGCAACAATCGACAACTAACCATAGTGGATGAGCAGGGGTGCGTGAGATAGGTCCCAAAGAAGACTAGAAACATATCAAGGATATTTCATCTATACTCTGTAGCTACAAACAAAAAGGTGTAAACAGAGCTATCCACATGTAACATGAAGAAGATAAACAAAAATGACATAGCAACTATCAAACCTACTATAAAAAAAGAGAAATACAATGAGAGAAGAAATTTCCATGCAACAGATGAAGAACCCAATCTGGAAAACAATATAAGCCCTCAAACCAAAAGTAGGTTCCTCCTTGAATACTTATTTGAATATTTCAAATGAGAATGTGAATTCAAGTTGAATTTAAAAAAAAACTATAGGTCGGGAGCAAGATGGCCAAATAGGAACAGCTCCAGCCTCCAGCTCCCAGAGTGAGCGACACAGAAGATGGGTGATTTCTGCATTTTCAACTGAGGTACCGGGTTCATCTCACTGGGAAGTGCTGGACAATTGGTGCTGGTCAGCTTGTGCAGCCCGACCAGCGAGAGCTGAAGCAGGGCGAGGCATCGCCTCACCTGGGAAGTACAAAGGGGAAGGGAATCCCTTTTCCTAGCCAAGGGAAACTGAGACACACAACACCTGGAAAATCGGGTAACTCCCACCCTAATACTGTGCTTTACCAAGAGTCATAGCAAACGGCACACCAGGAGATTATATCCCACACCTGGCCCAGAGGGTTCCATGCCCACGGAGCCTCCCTCATTGCTAGCACAGCAGTCTGAGATCTAACTGCAAGGCGGCAGCGAGGCTGGGGGAGGGGTGCCCGCCATTGCTGAGGCTTCAGTAGGTAAACAAAGCCGCACAGAAGCTCGAACTGGGTGGAGCCCACCACAGCTCAGGGAGGCCTGCCTGTCTCTGTAGACTCTACCTCTGGGGACAGGGCATAGTTAACAAAAAGCAGCAGAAACCTCTGCAGATGTTAATGACTCTGCCTGACAGCTTTGAAGAGAGCAGTGGATCTCCCAGCATGGAGGTTGAGATCTGAGAACGGACAGACTGCCTGCTCAAGTGGGTCCCTGACCCCTGAGTAGCTTA